AGAGAGAGAGAGAGAGAGAGAGAGAGAGAGAGCTAATTGCTTTCACAATGTTTTATAGATACGACACCAATGGGTCGGACACTGAATCTCTTTGCCGAAGACATGAATGTGGTGGACGTCCTAATCGTATTTGACATGAGACTAACTTTTCTTAAATTTTTTGCACTAATCGTATCGTTGGTTATGATATCACTGGAAACGCCGGCAATTTTGTTGGCAATCCTACCAATAATTGTGGTTTATATAAAATATCAGCGGATATACAGCGAGAGTGTGCGGCAGATCCGACACGTGGACACCGGCACCCGAACCCGCATAACAAGTCACTTAACCGAGACTTATAACGGAACGGCAGTTATCCGGGCCTTCGGTGCCGACCGTGACTTTGTCCGGGAATCGCACCGACGTCTGGACGCACACAATAGGTGTCAATACTCTCTACTCGTGGCCAAGTGTTGGCTCGCCGTACGGCTCGAGTTCTTGGGCTATAGTATAGTGTTATTGTCGGCAGTGTTTGCCGTGGCGTTCAGGCATACAATGACCGCCGGTGTGGCCGCTCTGACCATCACTTATGCCGTAAACCTAACGGCAATTATGGCACGGGTTGTGTTGGGAGTGACGGAAACTGAAACATATATGATGGCTGTCGAGCGCTGTCTGGCTTTTACTCAAATACCGATTGAGGTATTTTTATATTCAATTTTATTTGTAATTAAATTATGTATTTTGCATATAATTTAAAGGCCGAGTGGTATAACGAGAGGACTAAACCCGCGGACAACTGGCCGACAATGGGTTGCATTTCATTTACAGACTATTGCACTAAATATAGATTTGGTTTGGATTTAGTGCTCAAAGATATAGCAATTGATATAAAAGGCCGACAAAGGGTTGCGATCGTCGGCCGCACCGGCGCTGGAAAGTCGTCCCTCGCGTTGGCTCTCTTCAGACTCATTGAGCCGACGGCCGGAACCGTTACCATCGATGGCGTCGACTGCTCTACCATT